ATGGGATGAACTTTGAGGTCCCTTCCAGCCTTTACTTTGGAAAGCAGGATTTTCCTTCCAGGATGTGCAAGAACCTCCAAGGAAGCTGGAGAGGGAAATCCAGCAGGGATTGTGGTGATGGGACAAAGAGGAACAGGTTCACACTGAAAAAGGGGAAATTTATATGGGATATTGGGAAGGAATTCCTGCCTGTGAGGGTGGGCAGGCCCTGGCACAGATTCCCAGAGCAGCTGTGGCTGTCCCTGGATCCCTGGCAGTGCCCAAGGCCAGGCTGGATGGGGCTTGGAGCACCCTTGGGATAGTGGGAGGTGTCCCTGCCCATGAGATGATCCTTAAGGTCCCTTCCAACCCAACCCATTCCATGATTCCCTGACTTTCCAGGACAAGGAGCTGCTCCCCAGCTTTTCTCTCCTCCTGTGACCAAACCTGAATACCCAAACCAACAAAAAAATGCACAAATAATTTGCTTTCCATTTGATTATTAAGAATAAAGAACATTTTCTCCTTGATTCTTCTTCCCCACTCCCTGTACACATTTTGGATGGAATGGCAGTCAGTAGGTGACTCCCTGCACTGGAAAATGGGAGGCACAAGGCTTTGGGATGTCTTGTGCCATCAACAGCTTCCAAACCTTCAGCTCTCAAACCCAAAATTTATCCTGGGACTGTGCAAGATCTCCAGGGACTGGAGGGACCAGGATGCCAAGTCCTGTTATCAGATTCTACCTGTAAATCCTGAATGCCCCACAGAAACCTGCTGGAGCTGGGAATTTTGGGAGGATTGTCCCTTGGTAGGTGATTCCCTACCCTAAAAACACGAGACTTTGGGATCAACAGCTGCAAACCTTCAGCTGTCAAATCCAAATCACGTCCCTGGAATGTCTCCAGGGGCTGGCTGCACCAGGAACCTCTGGGTTTCAGCTCTCCTGAGCACCATCCCTGCTGCTGGGCTGCAGACACAGAGCTCACCAGTTCCACAGGGCTTGAAACGTTCCAGGGAACATTTCTGGGGCGAGGAAAACATGAAAGGACTCTGGGAGCTGGAAGGAACTTCAGACACCATCCGTGCTGGAGGCGGGAGCTGTGTTTATTTTGTAGTTCCTCTGCTCCCTTTGGAGCTGCTGCTGCTGCTGAGGCAAAGCAGCTCCTCTGAGGAGGCAGAACGGGGCAAACAAAGCTCTGCTGATCACTTGTTCCCTTCTCATCACAAAAAAAACCTCGGAGTAACTTCAGCACATCCATCCCCTGGCTGGAAAAAGCAGCTTTGTTGTTGCAGTGGTGAGTTCCCTGCTGAAAGCAGCTCCGGTTTTAGGAGCACATGCTGGATTGGAGGGTGGTGGTGGTGAGAGGTGAATGTCAGCCCTCAGCACAGCTTCTCCTCCTCCAGGGGTACTCCCAGCTCCAGCTTCTCTTTGGAGAGATGGGAAATCATATCCCAGGTATGG